ATTTGAATTTTGTGCGTGAATGGTTATGAGTGCATCAAAATACTGCTAGTTGTCTCCCCACACACCCTTCTTGAATCAGTGTGGCAAGCGGCGTCGAGTTGAGTGTTTGGGTTTATTGTTGGTGAATGTGTTTTCATTGTTGTGTTTCTATGAGTTTGCGGTTTTGTGATGGCTGACCTGAGAGAGCAGCATGTCTGTATAAAGTTTTGTTTTAAACTTGGGAAAACCGCTGCAGAAATGTACCAAATGTTGAAGCAAACTTTTGGTGACAACAGTTTAGGCCAGAAACAAATTTACAACTGGTATAAGCGTTTCAAGAATGGCCGAACATTGACTGATGATGATAATTGTTCGGGACGGCCATCAACTGGCAACACACCAGAAAATGTTGCGAAAGTTAGGGATCTGATTCTGCAAGATCGTAGACTGGCCATCCAAGACCTCTGTAACACCTTGGGACTAAGTTATGGTACATGTCAACGAATTTTGTCAGAGGAACTAAACATGAGGGAGATTGCAGTGAAGTTTGTGTCATGACTGCTGCCAAATGAACAGAAGCAGCATCGCTTGGAAGTCTGCAGGGAACTTCAACAACAGCTTCAAGAGGATCGAAACTTTGTTTTTAAGGTTGTCACTGGTGACGAAAGTTGGGTTTATGGCTACAACCCTGAAAGTAAGCAGCAATCGTCACAGTGGAAGAGCCCTTCTTCTTCACCTCGGCCAAAAGAAGCTCAACAAGTCAAGAGCAACATTAAGTCCATGTTGATCTTTTTTTTTTTTTTATATTGACGGGATTGTTCATAAGGAGTTCATCCCTCCTGGTCAGACAGTCAATAAAGAGTTCTATTGCGATGTTCTAAGGAGTTTGAGGGAGGACATGAGGAGAAAACATCCAGAGAATTGGTGCACGATCGACTGGGTACTCCACCATGAAAACGCACGACTGCATATGGTTTACATTATGCAATTTTTGGCTAAAAACAAGATGGCAGTTGTTCTCCATCCACCATACTTGCCAGACTTAGCTCCATGCATCATCTTTCTCTTCCCCAAGATGAAAATCAAGTTGAAGGGGCGAAGATTTGATATAGTTGAGGAAATTCAAGCAGAAACACAGACAGTACTAAACACCCTAATAAAGAAGACTTCCAGGATGCATTTGAAAAGTGGCAGAATCGCTGGGATCGGTGTATGCTCTCCCAAGGGGACTACTTTGAAGGTGATGGCGCAGAATAAGGTCCAGGTAAGATGTAATAGGTTTTATTAATATATTTTGAGAACTTTTGGATTGCACCACGTATTTGTGGTGCACCACTAGAATTTGTGCTGTATCCACTGCCTCTACTACCACCACCTCCTAAGTAACAGTTTTCTGTCCTTCATCCAAAATACCTTGTTATCCATGTTCTGTTGTCAGTAGTTTGCACATGGCCATATCTCTTGTTTCCAGTCTTGTTTATAGATGGAACCACATTGTTTAATAGCAAGTTTAATGACATCCAACTTGAAGGTGACACTTCTTAACTGTTGCCCAAATAGCTCATAGGGGTTGAGTTCTGGAAGATGAGGCACTAGTTTCAAAATTATATGATAGTATTCTTCCAAAAGACTCAGTTTTCTGTGGCAGTGCATAGGTTTGTTAAATGTAATCAGTTTGTATAAATGCAATATGCACATTTCTTCTACATTTGGAATTCCCTTCTCATTTCATCATGATGCCCTTACACTTTACTGAAATTTGATGGAGGGGCTGAGGTTACATGTATGTCATGATAGGAAACATTATCTGTGATTACAGTACTGTGTGGAAGTAGATTAAGGATAAGTTCTTTCTGTCACTTCTCAGAATTCATGAAATTTATGTTGCTGCGATAATTGGCCATGCTGTGATAGAGCTTGAAACGAGTTTGAATCTGATATGAAGTCTTCCTTTCCACCAGCGTTTATGATAATTACTCTTTGCCCTCTCAATACAGGAGCAAGCAAACCACAAACTCTGTCATTACTTTGGTCAAATGATGTTGTATGTGATCCATGAATGTTTCATCTATATGAACTATGGGCAGCCTTTATTCCTGTATTTATAAGTAGTTCATAAGTAAGAGATTCTCTGTGCTCATATTGTTGTGATGCTTCCTCAGAATTGGTCAGTTGTTTTTAGTCCCCCATTGAAATCCCAAGGTATGAAGAATTTTTCTTAATGTTAAAATGTTTCCTTAGAAGTCTTTTGTCAACTTCATATGCATTTTCTTTAGCCACAGCCTTTGTCTGTCTGTCACATAAGCCCATTTACTGTACAGTGAACTGCTGCTTCATTGAAATTGTCCAGTATTGTCTTTGTCAATTTTTTTAGCACTTTATGGAGTGTTGCAAACATTGTTGAGGCACTGGATTCAGTCATGTCAGGATAATTTTTAATTTTCGTAATTTATCTGTCTGGTACACTGTTCACTTGACTGCTCCCCCTGATTATCACTCCACATTGTTGTGGAGAACTTTTCTCTCGACCATACTTTTAACAAGAGACATTGTGAAATAAACCAGTGTTTTATGAATGCCAGCATATGATGCACCAGGAAGAAAACTTGACAGAGTAACAGCTTTCCTTGCCTGATCAGTACACACCTTACAGTTCTTGTTGTAGTAGCTAATAGGCTCAACCAAATCCACTCTGTCTTTCACTGAGAATGGCCAGGTGTAAACCATGGACGTTATGTTTTTTCTATAGCATTTTGCCTGTGTTCTTGTTCTAAACCTTAATATGAGACTGGGACAAGGATTGTCATTGGCTCTTGATACTAGAGCAAAAAACTGCTTCAGATTGTTTCTTTTGTGTCAGTCAGTCATTCTTAACATGTAGCTACTATCAGTTACACTTTTTTTTCCCTTCAAAATTTTCTCCTTCCCATTTTACATTTGTCTATTTCAACAGTGTGCTGCTCTCATTATGTAGTGCCTCTGTGTATATACATCTTCTGTTATTAGGAGATCCTATTATCAGTGGTGAACCTTGTTTCCATACCAATTTAGTGGAGTGTATTTGTCTTGAATTACTTTTGTACTTTCTGTTCATTTAAGTGTCCCCATGTTGTTACGTTTTCTGTGCCATGGAGTTAGTGGTTGTGTAAGATGGTAAAAGTCTGTTACCTGTGATTCATAGTGCAGAGCAAGGATTTTTAATTTTTGACTATGCACACAGCTTTTCAAGAAGTCTATAGTTAGTGACCCACTGTAAAAAATTTGTTCATGCACATACTTGTATACTTTCTAAATAATGAGTGTATTAAAAAGTACTAATTACAGGATCTCTCATTTCCTTGCCTTTACATTTTAGTGAGTTTTGAGCTTTCTCTTTTTGTGTCATTAATATTCCAGTGAGGTGTGGTTGATGGAAGGCTAATTGTGAAGTCGTGTTCAATGTCCGTTCTTTTGTTTTTCTGCTGAATGGAAGTGAGTTTTCAGTCTAATAATTTTACAAATGCAGCACATTTTAATCATGTACTTTAAGTTTTCAATCTGCACAAGACATCCTTAGACCTCACAGTTCAAAGCCACTAGTACAGAGAAAATTTAGTAACCAAGGTGTGTTGTGGTTTAGGTAGTAAGAGGTACAAGGGTTGGACAGAATAATGGAAACACTACAGATACTGTATTAATGTTGTGTTGGACCACTTTCACCTACAATAAAGCCACGGTCCTTGGAATGGACTCATATAAGTTTTGAACAGCCTCTAGTGGAATGTTATACCATTCTTCTTGAAGATCATCTTCAAATTGCTTTAGAGATGTTGGTGGGAAACTGTTCCTCACTCTAGTCTCCAAAATTGATCAAAATGGTTCAGTGAAGTTAAAATCTGGCAATTGTGCTGGCCAGGGAAGAAGCTGAAGTTCACCTTCATGCTCTTCAAACCATGACTGAATAGTTCCAGCTATGTGAATGGGGGCATTATCGTCTTGGAACACTACATCATTGTTTGGAAATAACATCTGGATCATAAGAAGCACCTGATTACCAACCTTCCCATGTACTCCCTTACAGTAATTCGGCCATGAAGAGTAATAATGGGCCCAACAGGATGCTGTACCATGATATTGCTGCCCAAACGATCACAGAACCTCCCCCATGTTACACTGTTGGATTCGAATTGTAGGCTTCGTTGGGTGTTCTCCAAATGTAAACTCCCCCTGATGGATGTAGGGAACAGTGTGAAGGGCAACTCATCTGACCACATCACGCATGTATTTCCAGTTGTCTGATGTCAGGTTTTATGGTTGTGACACTATCATTTGTGCATCTGAGCATTACTTTCAGTAATCAGATGTTTAGCAGTTGCAGCCCTACCATGGATGTTATATTTGTGAAGCTCATGTCAGACAGTTTTTGTGGAAACATGGTATTCAAGATGAATATTCCGTTCTGCTGTCCTGTCACCTTTGCTGCAGTAGTTGTGTGACATTTAAAATCAGTTTTTCTCATTGTACAAAAGTTTGTTTCTCTCAGTGTTGATTTTCGCCCACTGTTCCTCTTCGCTGATGTTATCTTCTTGTGATTTGTGTATGCTAACATAACCTTAGAAACAGTTGCTCTCAATACACCTAATAATGTGGCAGTTCTTATCACAGATGCTTAGCTAAACATACACCAACAATCAATTCTCTTTCAAAATCTGATAAGTCTCATTTTTGGATCCTTTCACAAGGCACTGTAAGGGCACTATGGAGTGTAAACAAATGAAAAAAAAAAATCTTCACTGATGCTAGCTGAATTTTTTTCAGTGTAGCCAATATAAATTCTGTTTCTCATTTTCTTAGTGTTTTCATTATTTTGTCCACTCCCTCTAGTTTTCGAGCCAAAATTGGATTGCATGAAATATGCTGTACACTTCTCTCTTTTCCCTCTCCTTCTATTTGGTTGTTGAATGATGATTTTAATATACCCTTCTATAGTGTTATGGGCAGTACCCACTCAGCTACATCCCTTTCTTTCATTTTCCTTGCAGACCCAATATCAATGAGTCCTCAGAAAGCTTTAGAGACAATAGGTGCCAATCTACAGAAGCAGTATGAACGGTGGCAGCCACGAGCTAGGTATAAGCAGAGCCTTGATCCTACTGTTGAGGAAGTGAAGAAACTGTGCACATCTCTTAGACGCAATGCCAAAGAAGAACGAGTACTATTCCATTATAATGGCCATGGTGTTCCCAAGCCAACATCTAATGGAGAGGTTTGGGTGTTTAACAGGGTGAGTATATATATGACAGCTTCTGTGTGCAGTGTATCTTACAAAGACTTCACTTATTACAAATCCTTTTATCTGTAAATTTAATTTAGGAGTTGTAACCAGTCAAATACCATATGGTAGGAATTAATATCAAGTTTTCCATAAAAGCATGCGTTACCCTAATTAGGCACAGACTGGCACTGCATCTAAAAGTTACCAAATTTCTTCTGTAGAAGGAAAGGTGTATTGTTATTTCTGGTACATCACTACACGATCCGTGACAATTGTGCAGAGAGAGTATTGAGTGAAATTTGGACAGGATGCATTATCTGAGAACTTCATTAAGGAGCAGTACTGAAAGCTAACCATGGACATTTGCTAGTTAAAAAGGGGTGGGCCAAGAAGCATGACACAGATGTGGAATCAGTAAGGAGTTATCATGCTCAGTCCTTGGAAGCATGTTTACTGAGCTAATCAAGAGTTGCAGATGTCATCCAGAGCTGTATGGCAGCCTCTGAAGAGAAGTTTGTATGAAATCTACAGGCTTCAGTTCCTTCGAGCTGACATTGAGAAGTTTGTTTCACATTCTTTCTAGATTTTATAGGTATAATAGCAAGTGTCAAAACTCTCATGTGTAAATTTGTATCTGAACTGATGCATATTACAACCTGTATTTGGATGTAAATGTCAAGCATTGCTTTTTTGAGCATATAAAGCCATATTTCACAAATTATCAAAATGTTGGACATGTGTTCACCTTGCTTAGGAGCTTGTTCAGACTAGTCATTGCATTGTAGAAAAACTATAATCTGAAATTTAGTAAGAATATTTTTGCTGTGATGGAATGTGATAAAGGAACGCCCTTAAAATGGGAAGTACCCCCCTCAGTCTCCCACATCCCTCCTTCATCCCCCTTCCCTCTACTGCCAACTTCCTTGTCTCTCTCTTCCAGCTACCATATTACTCTTTTGTTCAAAAGTACTGAGTTTTTTCAGTCTCACATGATATAACCTGAAGATCACCATTTGAAGTGTAATAGACTGTGCATTGAATGAAAGTATAAGGAAGAGCAGGGTGGAGGGAAGTGGATGAGATGAAATAAGCTGCCCACAAAGCCCTATACTCATGTGTATGTTTTAATGACATTAACTGCAGTAACATGCTGTAGATAACATGTTTTACCATAACATAATATGAACTGAGAAAGTAGTCATGATTGCACAGTACATGAAACAGAACATTCTCTGACCCAACCTGACATAGGAGGAATGTGGAATGTAAACAGAGTGAAAACATTCATTACTCACATGTGATGATGCTTTTCTGTTTATGTGTCTGCAAAGAAATGTAGACTAAACATGTCCTGCATTTCACATCCTTACACTGATGGCCTTCTTGCTAACATTCTTTATGCTTGAAGTTATTGAACTTAGTTCAGCTATTTTAGTAATTAGGAGTTTATCTTATTTTATGAGTAAAAAAATTTTACGAATGGTGTATTTTTCTTATTTCCACTCTATTCTAAAGTATGGAATAATTTTTTGGGGCAACTCAACGAATAACATTAGAGTTTTTAAATTACAAAAAAAAGTAATAAGGATTATATCTGGAGTGGGACCTAGAGACTCTTGTAGGGATCTTTTTAAGAAATTGAATATACTGCCATTGTCATGTGAATACATTTTCTCATTGATGATGTTTGTGATTGATAATCAAACTAAATTTTGTTCAGGTTTAGATGTTCATTATTATATTTAAGCATCCTGTTGCACTCCATACGATAAATGATATAAACTCCGTCTCAAGTGCAAACAATATATTTTGTGTCTTTGATCTTGCTCCCTACACTACATGTTTCGGCCTCAGACGGCCATCATCAGTACACAGGGTAAGTACAAATAACAATATACACACATAAGAAAACACCACATACATAAGATAGTAATACAAATATATTTGTATATTACAGATAACACCTATACAGTGTGGAAACAAGAACTAGCCGCTGCAGCACTTCAAACACAGGGCGAATAACCCTAACAATTTTAAAATTTTAAAATTTGGACAAGAATTTAAAGGTTTAAAATTAGAACTAAAGATTTTATTATGGTGCTATTACAGTAAAGTCAAAATTAANTTTTCAGAAAGGTAGTATGTTTACTGCCATTAAAATATTCAACAGATTGCCCATAACCATTCAAAGCCTTAAAGAGGATAGAATTAGTTTTAAAAATAGGGTGTTTTTACATCTTATGAATAATTCCTTATACAGTTTCTGAATATGTGGAGCATAACATAAACAATTAGTTTTAATTATTTTGTTATCTGTGTGTTTGTTTAAATTTGTTTTTATATCTTATGAATNGTATGTTTACTGCCATTAAAATATTCAACAGATTGCCCATAACCATTCAAAGCCTTAAAGAGGATAGAATTAGTTTTAAAAATAGGCTGTTTTTATATCTTATGAATAATTCCTTTTATACAGTTTCTGAATATGTGGAGCATAACATAAACAATTAGTNNNNTTTTGTTATCTGTGTGTTTGTTTAAATTTGTTTTTATATCTTATGAATAATTCATTTTATACAGTTTCTGAACATGTGCAGCATAACATAAGCAGTTAGTTTTAATTATTTCGTTATCTGTGTGTTTGTTTAAATTTGTTTTTATATCTTATGAATAATTCATTTTATACAGTTTCTGAACATGTGCAGCATAACATAAGCAGTTAGTTTTAATTATTTCGTTATCTGTGTGTTTGTTTAAATTTTTGTATGACGACCTTCATGTCCATTTGTTTGGACTTGTGAAATGAAATGTATGTATGTATGTATTAACTGAAGTTTCAGTCATTTTTATTGTTTTATTAGGTTTATGGCCTTACTCTTAACAGTTTTCTGGAAACAACAGATGGTAACCCTGATGCCTGGTACCATCAATCATGTTATAAATTGCTGTAATGTTTCATATAACTATTGGGCTCTCAGAGTCAATTTAACTTCCAAATTCTATACCATTTTTAAGACTTTTATCTCTCTGACATTCTGAGTTTTTATTAGGTCGATTTTATGACCATTGTGTCAGGTCCATTGAGAGTCTGTCATTTTTTTTTTTTTTCAGTTTTAATATCTTATTACTGAGATTCTAATAGTCTTGACCCATGATTTTGTCATGTAACTATTTACAGACAGACATCACTTTTACTTTCCTCTCTTGGTGAGTTTTTAAATTTGGTTTTATGCAGTCAGAAATGTCCTTTTATGCCATCATTTCTGTAATTTTCCTGACGTGTTCCGCATGTGCAAACGTCCCTGCGCGTTCACACACACACTCTCTCTCTTTCACTTTCTCACACAGTCACACTCAGTTGTTTGGTTGCTTGCTCACTCATTCATTAACTTGTGAGTAGTTTGTAATGAAACTCTTGGCAGTGCAATACAAAACAGCTACTGCTCTTGAAGTCATCAAGAAATCTACCACTAAAGAAGCTCTGAATTAAATATGTTGATTCATTTTAACCAAAGGTATAGATATGCCAGTTATAAAACATAAACAGGCAAAATTGTTACATTGTAATAATGTTTTCATTTATTTTTCTTCATTTCAGACATACACCCAGTACATCCCACTTTCAGTCTATGACCTTCAGACTTGGATGGGAGCTCCATCTATCTATGTCTATGACTGCTCCAATGCTGGCATAATTGTGGATTCATTTAAACAGTTTGCTGATCAGCATGAAAAAGAATATGAGGTAGAAATTGAAAATCTTAAGTTTTTGTTTCTTTTTTTTTTTTAATTGGAAACTCAGTACTTTATTATGCACCCTGTATTTTTCCTGATAAAAGAGACTAATCATTATAGAGAGCTACAGTCACACCCTGCTTACTGTTGCTCTGTTCATTGTCATTTCACAATAACGCCATTAATCGTGTAAGCCAGAATAGCAGAGTGAGGAGAAGTGGTGATTGCTAGGCCAGGTAATGATATCTGTGACACAGTGTTTTCTATGTGGTCTGTGCCATTTTCTGTATAGTCTAAACCAAGGTTGTATAATAAGGACCAATGGGACAAACAAGGGAGTTGCAGTCATGATTTAGTGCTGAGACAGTAGCCCACCTGCAGTGGTGTGAGCACAAAAACAGAGGAATGTTTATGGTTAAGATCCATTACCAAAGATTAAGACTCAGCGTATGCTGTAGTGATTTGTAGAGCATGTATAGTAGGGAAGGCAATATAATGATTTGTAATTAGAAGTATAAGCATTCAGTAAATCCAATTATCAGTCCAAACCCTGTGTCTAGTCAATAACATGTACCAATACATTATAACCAAATTCTACCATAATGTTGTGAAACATCATTCAGCTGGTTACCTGCGATTCAAATCAGATGGTCAGTGATGATCGAGCCAGCAGTTTGTAAAGCATGCAAGTTGAATATTAGTTAACAAAAAATGTATTGAAGTCTCGATAAATAGTAGCTATAGAATCAATTTTACCATATGACAACCATAATTTTACTCTTTACTAGCATATAAAGGTTTTGATGAGCCAACTGCAGAATACCAACACTGAGAATCAGTCTGCTTACCTTGCTTCTGTGTGTTCATAACTATTGATGCTTTATTTTATTAATTTCTGGAATAAATTTACTCTGACCTCTAATATTTTGTTCTTTGTGTTTAGTATTTGTTACCATTATAGAGATTATAGTGTTGGTTGCCTGTAAACAGCTATCTTAAACTTCACAGTCAGAATTTTGGTTGCCCAGGAAAATATCTCCCATTTATAAGATCATTCCTTTGGAATCATCATTAAAAAAATACATGTGGATGCAGGTTCTGATAATATTTTTCATCCACAGTCATTAAAATTTCTGTATTTTGAACCATGAAACAGTGAACAAAAAATTGGCATATTTCTGAACTATGTTATATTTAAGCATCCTGTTGCACTCTACACTTCTGTATGTATAATATAAATACCGTCATAAATGCAACAGTTTATTGCAGTTCTTTGTCTTTCTTCTTTCACACTATATGTTTCGGCCGTAACTGGCCATCATCAGGTGTATTTCACTTTCATAGCTTTCACACTGCATGTAATTTAAAATTTAAAAACACCAGCTTTCTCAATTGTCATTGCTGCATTTAAAGATAAACAGCGGCATGCAGACAGGGAACTTGCTCAGAATAATACGTGAACGGTACTGAAAGCAAGAAATAGCCGCTGCAGCACATGTAGACAAAGAGCAGGTAACACTGCATTTTAAATTTAAAAGAAAAAATTTTAATTTTAAATTTAAATTGTAGATTTAAAAAAAAAATTCTAAATCAAATCAACGAGTGTATATTAACAGAGATTTGAAACATAACTGACAAAATCAGCAAGAGGATTCTGGTATATAGGGGCCGATTCAAACACAGCAATGACAATTGAGAAAGCTGGTGTTTTTAAATTTTAAATTACATGCAGTGTGACAGCTACGTAAGTGAAATACACCTGATGATGGCCAGTTATGGCTGAAACATGTAGTGTGAAAGAAGAAAGACAAACAACTACAATAAATTGTTGCATTTATGACGGTATTTATATTATACATATAGAAACATTTCTGAACATCAAACATTTTGAAGAAAGCAGTCTTATGGGATGTGGCGCCGTGTAGATGTGTTAATACATAGTCACCGCCGTGAAAACCTCAAATCTTACATCAAACATTTCATTTGATTCTCCATTTGATACAATGCTGTCTGGTTTCCTTGCTTGTAGTTGGAAAGATAAATTGATATAGTACCCACCAATTTTTGCATTGATTTGGCCTTTCAGATTGAATGCCTTAAATACAAAATATATATCACCACTGTCAGCACTAGAATTTACACCTATGAAAAAATGTTTTTCCCACCTGTTGTTAAAGACCTTGTGGTCCCTGTCTATTTTTATTTGGTTTTGATTCATTTGTAGATATTTATAGTACTCTGAATTAGCACTTATACTATAATGCCTTGATTATTTTAAAAGTAATTTTAAAATATTTTATGAGTACTTACTTTATAAGTATTTTACACTTTAAAAATGCAAAGTGTAGCAGCATGACAGTCCTCTACAGCTCGTACACCTGATGATGGCTGACAGGGCCAAAACACGTAGTGTTCAAGTAATAAGAAGAGATGACTGCTTTTGAAGCATGAATTTTAACACATCAGTGAATATGCACAGGGATGGGGAGAAGTGGGAGTACTGATTTAGTATAAACAGTGCAACAGGATGCTGCAGTAAATATAATTTACATTATTGTGTTATATTCAGCAATATCATTTCCTGAAAAAGACTTGCACTGTTTACTGTACTGTACTCATAATTTAAATCCAACTGTTGCGTGGTCTGCTGGCCCAGTCACCCTGAAGGCTCTTAGTTGTGACATATCCATTAAAGGCTGTTGACTTTCCCAACCAGTCCTTCCCTATTTCTTCTCACTCCACAAAAGCACAGAGCTATCCACCTTTTAGCAGGCAGTAAACAGTTCCTATATTTTAGTAATTTCCCAAAGTACTCCAAACTGTTATTTTCAAAGTATTGTGGCTGGCAAGATGTGGTTCATGTTATGATAAAGAGAAATTGGAAGTTAAAGCTAATAAAGTTTCATCATCTCTCTTCCCCCTGCATAGATTTTGTAGGTAGTCTTGTCCGCTTGGGTCAGTTGACCTTCACTTTATTTGCCTGGTTATAAGTCTGTTGTTTCTTAGATTTACTCTTTGCAGAGTCTCTTTTCAGTCAGAGAAATGCTTTATGAATAGTGACAACAAAGTGTAGTTCACAAATCTTTGCCTTGGAAGCGTAACTGAAAATATAGCACGCAGTAAATATTAAGTTCTGCAAGACTTGCCCTTAGTAAACCTCTTGGTTCCTATGTTCTGATACTACAGAAGGTCTGTTAATTGTACTATATTGCACAAACTGATTTTCAATTTTGAAGTAAATAAATTATATGTCAGACAAAATTCTCAAAGGCTCCTTTTTATCCACTATTGTCAGAGTTAGTGGATTTATGCTGTATATTAATTTTCTTAATATATAGATCTTGAGCTTTCGGGCTTTACTTTGGAAAGTAAATTATTCACCTCTCATACAAAGAAGATTTAAAAAATAACTTACTTACCATCTGCAGGTGAGCAGCATTTTAGTAGTTTGTGTAATTTCAACATACACTTAACATGACACAGCTTTCCGAATTTAATGAACGGTCCTTGCACAATAAGGCCCTTACCTACTTCAAGGTGTGCAAAGAACATATTGAATGGCATAACTGTTAAAACTAAATTCATTGTATTGAGGTCTCACTTTATGTTCTTGTTAAGATTTTCCCTGGTAATACATGTACAAGATTAAAGAGACACTTGTTTGAAGTTTGTACATAAATCATATAATCATATATATATATTTCATTTTATTTTTCAGCAAGTAGCAGCACAGAACAGGGGCTCACTGAATTCTCCACCTACCTTTAAAAACTGCATCCAGTTGGCAGCTTGTGCAGCAAATCAGATCCTGCCTATGAACCCTGATCTTCCTGCAGATATCTTCACATCTTGCCTTACCACTCCAATCAAGATTGCACTGAGATGGTGAGGAGTTGTTTGCTCCTTCAGATGCAATTGAGTCATTTTATCTTTTATGTATACTCCTTCTGTAAATGGAAAAATGTGTAGACTTGTTAGATTACCATGCTGTCTGCACACACATGCATGTGTGTGCATGCGCCCATTACTACATTTGAAACCATTGACCAATTTTCATGAAGTTGTGCCATTTGAGGCCACACTGATGTTGTTCCTTCTAATTTCCTGAATTTGGTAATAGTAGTATGGTAGGATGCTGAAACTTGTGATAGCAGTAGTAGCATCACCATGCAATTTGTGTTAAGGTAACTTTCTTTGTAGAATGCAAAATAACAATATGGTGGTCATACAAACATTTTATTTCACTTTTCTGGTCGATGTTAAATGATGAAACATTAGACTCAGCTATGTGAAATATGCTGCAGAGATAGAGCTAAACATACCTACGCACTGTGAAAGAAATATTTTGTGAATATGCAGTTACAAACATGGCAGTTGTGTGAATTTTTGGGGTTATGTCTGACAAATTTTACATAAACAGAATCTGTCCTTAAGTAATAAGGTTCTCCAAGAAGGAAGATAGTACAGTAATAAATCACAAATTTGGACTAACTGGAAGTGAACCCTTGTTCAAATTAGTGAAAGTCCGAATTATAGAAGTTCTACTGAAAATTTAAAAAATAAACTTATTTTGGTTTGTGTTCCTCTTTTGTACTCTTCTTGTGCTAGATCCTGCTGATCATGGCAGTGTGATCAGGGTTATGATGAGCAAAAAAAAAACACTAGTCTGAATTAGTGAGGTTTCACTTCAGTAGTAAGAAGTGAGGATGATGATAATCCTTAAATATCCACAATTGCAAGTAGTAAAAATTGGAATAGAATTAAATCTTATTACCATTTGCATGCATGTCTGGCATGCCAGCATGCTATCATTGAGCTAAATGGGATCACACTGTTGAATTATAGATTTTCATTACTGAAATATGGTTCTGATAAAGCAAGATTTATAGGACAAGAATTTATTGCAGTGGGAATGCTTATGGTTTCTATCCAGAACCCATTTTTATGGGTTTTTACTCTACCAGATTGTAAAATTACACAAAGCTCATTTTACTTTTTGTTCTCACATTATTTTTGGTGAGCTCAGTCAGACTGCATTCAGGCTGGATGACAACAGTTTGATTCTCAACTAGAGCAATATTGTTTCACTTCACTCCATGTCCAGACTACCTGTGGAGCATACCAAGGCTCCTGGCCATGGGCTCTGGGGGTAAACCTGCTGGACTGTGGAGTAGACCAATTCTTTCTTTCTGATGTTGATGTTCAAAATACATGTTAGGAATATTGTGTGTGAACAACTTATTATTTGGTTTCATCACCACAGTTCATGTTTAAATTTTATATATTGTTTTACAACATGTGTCAGCCCTTTATGGCCATCATTAGGTGAAATATTTTACACTCACTGTGTACTTTGCCTTGTTTCCTCTTACACTGGCCAATATTCACAGTTGGGGGATGTCATATATGCTATTTATCAGTGTTACCAATGTATAAAACTATATGCAAAACATTAACATTTTAAATACTAAATTATTAAATTGTTAATACCAATGTGTAAAACTATATGCAAAACATTAAAATATAAGGATACTAAATTCTTAAAATGTTTAATATTTAGTTGCTGTTGTTGAACATTAAACATGGAATTTATGGATCACTGAGAGGTGTTTCCATGTTTATGTCTAAGAACACCAACAACAAATGAAAAATTTTAATAATCTAGTATTTTAATGTTTTGCATATAGTTTTACATGTTGGTATTAACAATTTAATTATGTGGCATATAGAACCATTACTAGGCAGCAACCATGAGATAAGCAGTAATACCAGAGCCATTGCTGGGTAATGGTTACAAAGAAAAATGTCTCCACAGCAGAGAATCAACACACAACAATAGGGGTACTGCTGGAAAACCATGTTTTCTACAGTGGTTCATGCCAAGGAGTTATAAGCAGGACAGAGTTGCAGCTTAGTTTATTTGGAAGGGAGCCACCGCTGAGAGAAGGTTTGAGCACAGAAACAAAGGAATAGTCATTGTTGGAGCCATTGCCAGGCAACTTCTCGTGAAGACCCTTTTGGGCTGGAAAAGACTTACCGTGCTCTGTCGCCATTTATAAAGTGTGGAAATCAGTGATAGTGCTATAATTAAGTGTAATTATGAATTATGTGCTAAAGTGGTCAGTAAATCCAGCATCCAATCCAAACCCCCATCAAGAGTCACTCAGACATGTGGCAACAATTTAGTAATTAATATTGTACTGTTTTGCTTGTAGTTTTATGCATTGGCATTAACATTGACAAATAACACGTATGACTTCTTGAGTTTTAAACACTGGCCGATGTAAGGTAAAGCAGCTGCAAAGTAGAGAGCGAGCATAAAGTATGTTACCTGAAGATTATCATAAAGGTCTGAAACATGTAAAATAATATATAAAGTTTATACACAAGTTGTGTTGATGGAACTGATAATAAGAATGCATATAGTTCTACCCCCACCTCCCATTGTGTCCTCATGATGTGGTTCTTTATCAGATATGGAGACAATTTAACTTCATCTTTTTACCATTTCTTGTTAGTTTGTCTCAAGACTACCATTTTTCTCATTACAACCACCTTTCATCTGATAATTTGATCTTTGTCGTGGGCTGTATATATTGCTTTAATGTTATATTTCTGTCTGAAGTTTCCCGTGTCATTCCATGGAAATAACATTGCCATCATTAGTTTCTGTAGTTCTTAGTCGAAAATCTCAGTCCAGACACTGAGCAGATTTTCTTTGAATTTTATGTATGAAACAATTTACTAAAAGTTGTTGGGGAATTCTGTTTACAGCCATATTTATCCAAAATAAATACTGCTTTACATAAAGTCATATATAGACTTTGATTTGTTTCATTCTGGTCCATCACACTAACAGTATTACAAATGATAAAACAATTCCATCCACTATGACTGTTGAAGCTTTCACTACTTCACTTCTTAGCACCCTAACATGTTTCGGTACCTGTAGACCATCATCAGAGGGAACATCAATACTTTTAGAAACTACTATTACATTGGGTGTTTTGATTTTTAAAATACATAAATATACAATATTTGTAATATACACTTTATACAAAATCCAAATTTCTTACACCTACAGCAACTGTCCTTGATGCATTAAAGTTTTTTCTTAAAACTTTTTGTTATTTAAGTCAAAATTCTTTAACCGAATAGGTTCGTGTCCCTTGTCCTTTCGTTTTTCTTGATGGGGCCGAACTTGTGCCGCCTGTCTTTCTTGGAAAGGAAGTGCTTGTTGTCCTATGTTTGTTCGTAGCGTGCTGTGATGTTTTTACAACATTATCATTTCACAGATTTTTTAACATTCAATGTGAAAGACTTACTTATGGATCTGAACCCCTCTTGAGGAGCCACCAAATCTGCAGCTACTCATGAATTTCCCAGCATTTTATGAAACCCGAAGGTTCATTACCATGTTCACAAGAGCCCCCCACTGGTCCCTATCCTGAGTGAGATCAATCCAATCAATACCATTCCATCCTATCTCTAAGATCCATTTTAATATTGTCCATCCACCTATGCCTTGGTCTTCCCAGTGGTCTCTTTCCTTCTGGCTTTCCCACCAATATCCTATATCCATTCCCTGTCTCCCCCATTCATGCTACATTCCCTGCCCACCTCATCATCCCTGACTTGATCATTCTAATTATACTTGGAGAAGAGTACAAGTTATGAAGCTCCTCATTGTGCAGTTTTCTCCAACCTCCTGTCACTTCATCCCTCTTCAGTCCAAATATTCTCAACACCCTCAGTCTATGTTCCTCCCTTAATGTCAGAGACCAAATTTCAAACCCATATGGAACCACAGGAAAAATTATTGTTTTGTATGTTCCAGTTTTTATGTTTTTGGACAGCAGATGAGAAGACAAAAGGTTCTGGAGTGAATGGCAGAGGCATTACCCAAGTTCAGTCTCGTCTTAATTTCCTCCTCAATCAGGTTTTGATTTGTTATCCTCATTCCAAAATTTCTGAACTGTGCCACATTTTCAAAACATCTGTTTTCTATCGTTATGACATGATTTTGCCCTGCATTTTGGTCACAAGACAGTTTACTTCTAGACCAACCTCCTTACTTGTGTCAATTAATGTTTTTCTTTATTGTATCTATATTATCACCCAGTAAAATCACATCATTGGCATAGACCAAGAGCTGATGTGTCCTGTTTAACTTCTGTCCTACCTGGTTTTCCCAGACCTTCCTAATAGCATATTCTAAAACAAATTTGAAAAGGAGTGGCAATAAAGCATCTCCTTGTTTTGACCATTCTGGATAGGAAATTTATTACACAACTGTTTACCTATGTGGACTTTACTATATGTTTCATTTAAACACATTTCAATCAGCCTAACTAGTTCCATGGGTACCCCAAACTCTATCAGAATACTGTACAATACTTCCCTCCTAACTGAATCGTAGGCCATCTTGAAGTCTACAAAAGCTGATGTACAGCACATGGTAGTGTAGTTGGTTGAGGCACTATGCTACAGGTCAGAAGGTCATGGGATTGAATCCCAATGAGATCATTGGATATTTTTCAATTTACCTAATCCTTTCTACCACACTATGGCCCTGGGGTCGACTCAGCCTCTAGCAGATATGAGTACCAGGAATATTCTTGGAATGTTCTTGGGAGTAAAGGGTGGCCGGCGCGTAAGGCTGACAACCTTAGCACCATCTATGAGCCGATTGTCTAGAAGATGTGGGAACCTTAACATCTCACAACCCTGTGTGCCTCCAAGGCCTGTTACAAGGATATGTTTAATTTTTTTACTTTACTTACTGTCTCAGTGTACTCCCATTTTTTCTCCAATATCTGACGAATGGAAAAGATCTGATTTGTAGTTGATCTGTTATGTTGAAACCCATACTGATGATCCCCAATAATTTAATCTCTGTATGGACTTAACCTTGAGAGAATATTGGATAGAATTTTGTATGAAGTTGATATCTCCCAGTAATTACTACAGTCAGTTTAATAACCCTTCTTGTGAAATGGTTCAATAATAGACTCCTTCCACTAATCAGGCAATTTTTCCTTATTAATTTTCAGTATTCTCCTTATTAATTAGCTTATGGATCTTAGAACATAATATTTTGGCTCAGTATGTAAGACTTCCACATAATATTGTCAGACATTTCTGTTTTTCAATATATTGATCCATAAGAGCCTAGTTTGCTTAAGGCCATAAATTGAATTTTCCATATGTCCCATAAACCGTACAGATTCTTTTTTTTTTAATTTGATGTGGGAGACTCACTACATTTCATTATTCTCATATGTAAATAATTTTGATAAATTTCAAAGAATGGGGTTAATAATTCTGTGTACAGCCTTTCAAATCTTGTATCTTACAGGCTGTAGCTATTAGTACATCAAGATTCTCTCATTATGAATAATGCTCAAAAATCACAAGTCAGGATAAAATCTAAGAATCAGTAATATTGTGCCTTTGTTTCAGTTACATATTTTTCCTTAATTATATGTGTTCTTAACATTTTATGCTGTGTTTTAGGTTTGTGATGCAAAATACTTCGAAGTTGGTTCCAAAAATATCAGTGGATCTTATAGATAAGTAAGTGTTTTGATTTCAGTAGCCAAAAGCTATTTAAATAAAAAAAAAAAAGTGCATTTAAAGTAAAATTCAGATTTAATGTTTTTTTATTAACAGTGATTCTGATCATTTATCAGAAAGAATATTGTAATGTATCTTGTTTTAGAGCAGTTATTTATGATATGTCACTACTGACCTTGATATCAGTTTGTTTTAGTATTAAACATTAACTAAACATCACACATTAATAAACATTTTAAATTATAAACATTATATCATATGAAAGAATGCTGTCCTGTTTTTTCTGGTGCTGCTACATTCACAGTTCCCAAGGCCTAGTGTCCTGTAACATGAGAATGATGCAGTATTAGTTGTCAATGTTGTACTTCATTTTTACTCTATTGTGACTCTGTCACATGAAACTTGCTGGTTAGAAACAAAGAGTATGTACCTACAACAATATATTCTCCATTGCTTTCATCATTGTCATCAGCAGCAGAGCTCACATGGTCATCATCTCTGAGTCTATTTGAGAGGCTGCACTTTTTGAAACTCTCTTCTTCCAGTCCCGGTGAAATATTCCCACATGTCCCTTAACCCTTTTTCTTTAATTTTTCATTTGCCATGAAAGATTTTAATCACATACCCTTTGTACTCATTTTTTTTTCCCCCACTCAAAATCACAACTGAAAACTGACTTTCACACATGAATAAACTGAGATGAACTGCACTCTTGATAGTAGCGTGCAATGTGTGTGAGTACAAAAGCTGACAGAGGAGTTTGCTGCTACCCTTTGGAATACACCAGAATAATAAACATGGAAAATAAGTAGCACTGTTAACTTTGATGCAAATAAGCCACACACCATACTTTTTGTCATGATTCTTTCCTAAAAAATGTGTGCAGGGTATTTGTGAAAATAACAGTAATATACATCTTTAGTGTTTATATCCTGCTTTTTGCCAGAATTCCAGGTCAGTTAAATGACAGAAGAACAATGCTTGGAGAATTAAATTGGATCTTTACAGCCATTACTGATACCATTGCCTGGAATACATTACCAAGGGGTTAGTATTCATGTATATCCGTGATTCAAGTATTTGTGTGTTGCTAAAGGTGTTGTTTTGTTATGTCTTGTAATTTGGATTGATCATGCATTTTGGTTTTAATAGATCTGTTTCAGAAACTCTTCCGACAAGATCTCTTGGTTGCAAGCCTGTTCCGGAACTTCTTACTATCGGAAAGAATTATGAGGTCATATGATTGTACTCCTGTTTCATCACCAAAATTGCCTCCAACATACCAGGTAAGCATGGAGATTAGAGTTTCATGTTTCATAGACGAAAGTATTTCATATGTCACAATTGATTTTATAAAATTCATTGCAACGTATTGTGATGGTTGATAGATGTAGGCCCCACCAATGGTATCTCCACCTTATCGTGGCGGTGGGGTTTGAGAGCTCCTGAGACCCTGAGAGCTATGGCGGCAGTAGTGTAGCTACTGGTATGGTCACCCATGCCCGACAGGTCAAAGGGTAGGAGCCAGACAGAGAGGGATACCCTGGTCCTCCAGGTTGGGGGTTGGGCATGAGGCAACCAACCTCACATCGTAAAAACTAAATTGTTCAGAAATCTGAGGAAAGAGTAGCCGGATGGAACTATTCAAGACAACCTGGAAAATGTTTAAAGGATTTGAGAATTGGATCTTGGAATGTATTATCTCTTTACAGAGCTGGAGCACTAAAAATGCTACTTGAAAAACTAGATAGCTATAAACTAGAGATCACTGCTATACAAGAACTGAGATGGTTGGGTAAAGGAGTCATGGAAAAGAGGGATCATATTGTATGCTATAGTTGTCAGAAAAAGAGTCACATGTTTGGAACAGGTTTTATTATTATTAAAAAAGGAAGCATCTTATTTTAGACTTTCAGGCAAAATCTCACAGAACATGTAGGCTACAAATTAAGAGAAAGTTTTTTAACTATAGCCTTATTTGTGCACATGCCCCAACTGAAGATAAAAGTGATGAGGAGAAACACTCCTTTTATGATGAATTGGATGAAATATATGGCGAATGTCCAAAAAGAGATTGTAAAATAATCACAGGGGACGTGAATGGTAAAGTGAGGAATGAGGATGTATATACAGTAGATCAGTTACTGGAAAACATAGCCTACATAACAAGTCAAACCATAATGGGATGAGATTAATAAATTTTGCTTCCTCAAGAAACATGGTAGTAGGTAGTACAATGTTTAATCACAAGGATATACATAAATGAACCTGGAAATCCCCTGATGGAAATGTGTTTAACCAAATTGATCACATCCTAATAGATGTGAGACATTGTTCAGACTTGATGGATGTCAGGAGCTACAGGGGAGACAACATTGACTCTGATCATTACTTAATAATATCAAAGATTATAAGTCGAATATCTAATGCAAGGAAGATACATGGATCCCAGGCTAAGAAATTGAATTGTGGAAAATTGGTGGAACAAGGAGTTGCAACAAGATATACTGGATTAACCCGTTGCCGTGGTTCGACGTGTATGTTTCGTCAGGGATTTAAATCGTCTGGGGGGGTTCGACGTGTATGTTTCGTCCAGCTGCACACCTATGTTATAACGCCCATAATAATTGATGGTTTTGCTGTAGATTGTTAGATTTTTCGCTGGCCTGTTGTCAGTAGAACAGAGTATAAATAAGACACGACTTTATCTGCGCCAAGTCATCGTTACATATACCTGTCTTGGTATATGTTGCTTGGTCCTGTTGCTTCTGGTAGAGGTTCGTCGTTCAAGCTGTTATGAAAGGCGTGTTTTCTTTGCTTTGAAGATATAAACAGCAGAGACGTGATGTTTATAATATAATATTGCCCTGAGCTGGCCACACAAACACACTCAATTGGAATTCTTAGAAGAGGGGTGTCCAGTAATTTATTCTCGCATGATCCATTGATTTCGCACAGTATATAGCACCCAGTTCTTAGAAAAACGTCACGAATTAAGGCAGAACACTGTGGTCACCCCCTGAGACGATACGGATGTGTGTGGGGGAGGGAAAAGAACTCATTCCTTCATGTATTATCGCTCCAGCTGACGCCATTTTATCGTACTGACCTTGGTGGTCGTTTCGAGGGATGACCATAAATATTTTTTTGAGCCAGCTAGGCTCTGCTTTCGTGCACTACATACCAGCCAGTACTTAGAATAACTTCATGAATTCTGTGGTCACCCCTACGACATCTACAGCCGCCAAAATGGATGGAATATCAAAGGCATAGCAACAACCCCTTGTTATGATAACTCGTAACGTTGAATTTACTGCAGCTGACCTGACTAGCTTTACTGCTCACGGAAGGACATTTCCTTGAACTAGACCCCTCACGGGGAAGAGGGCTAGGCCGCACAGAAGCTGTGTGGTTAAAAAAAAGAGCAAAAGAAAAGATACGCAGTATTTGTTTGGTGAATGTGAGCCAGCGCTGTGTTTAGACTAATGCTTCAAGGCGTCACCTGCTTGCATTGCCGAGATACCGGGTGCTCATATTATAAGGCAAGGTTATAAAACCATCTTTTAAGATCATTTTAGTGAAAGTTTCATCCTTCAAGGCGTACCATTCACTGCTCAAATACTAAACAACCTGCTTCCATGGCCGAGATACAGGGCGCCCATATTATAAGGTAAGGTTATAAAACCACCATTTAAGATCATTTTAGTGAAAGTTTCATGTTCCTATCTCATAGAATTTAAGAACAATGATGAATAAATAATTTTCGAGCAAAATTTAAATGGCCGGCTGAATATATTACCGCAGGAGCCGCGGCCGCGGAATTTAAATGACCACGTCAAAGGGTTAATTAGTGAATGCCTGGCAGGTCTCTCTGATAATGAGGATGTCAGTGAAGCCTGGAGGGACCTCAGAGATGTTATTTTAAATGCTGCTGGTGCAGTTTTAGGAAGAATTGAAAGGATAAAGTATAAGAATTGGTTTGATGGAGGGTGTGAGCAACTGACAAATAAGAAAAAAAACAGGCATATAAGAGAATGCAGCAAAGGAACCATACTCGAGGGGCCGTGGAAGAATACTATGAAGCGAGAAGAAAAGGGAATATGATAAACAAGAACTGATTGAATTGGAGCATTTAAGAAGTTCAAACAAAATTATAGCGTTTTATCAAAAACTAAATGAGTCGAAAGGACTTTCAACCTAGAACAACCTTATGTAGAGATAAAGAAGGCACGATATTGAGTAGCGATGAAGCAATATTGGAAAGATGGGTGCAATATTTTGAGGAATTATTAAATGGTAATGCCTCCGAACAATTGGAAGTTATGACCATAGACCAGAAACAAGGAAATTTTGAGGCTGAAGTGCCAGCGCCGACCATAAAAGAAGTGGAACAAGCTATTAAAAAATTTAAAAATAATAAAGCTCCAGGAATGGATCTCATCACGGCAGAATTAGTGAAATTTGCAGGCCCAGAATATGCTAAGCACTTACATCAGCTAATAAGCAGCCTCCGTAGTCTAGAGGTAACGTTCCCACCTCATGACTCATAGTACGCGGGTTCAGATACCTGGCGGAGGTTGTCGAATTTTTAAGGGCGGAAAAATTCAGGGAATAAGTCCTCCAGGAGGGACTTTAAGCCATGGGTCCCGTGTCGTAGCTTTACGGCACGTAAAAGAACCTCATACCTCCAAAGGAGGTCACTGAGACAAAATTGCGGACGTTTGCCTCCCAACAGCAGTCACTAATACCTCCGGTAGATGGGGGAAACATTACAGATACTTCTCAGCCAGTAGAGCCGGTCTCGCTGGCTGGACGGGACTGATGGTAAGCACCAATACCGGTAGGATATAGAGGCTAGTAGAAATCATAGAGGGAAGCACAATGGACCACTACAGGTCAAAGTGCATGGGGAAACCCACCCTCTCTAATAACTAACTAACTACATCAGCTAATAGTTGAGATATGGATAACTGAAATAATCCCAGAGGAATGGAACGTAAGTATTGTATGCCCTATCCATAAGAAAGGCGATGTCATGGTATGCTCTAACTATAGAGGGATTAGTCTGTTGTGCATAGCATATAAAATATTTTCCAACATTCTATTTAAGAGACTCTTTCCCTTTGTGGAAGGCATAATTGGGGATTACCAATGTGGGTTTCGTCAAGGAAGATCAACTAACGATCAGATTTTCACTATTTGCCCGGTCCTGGAAAAGTGTAATGAATTCCAAATTGAAACAGATCATCTTTTCATTGACTTCCAATCAACCTATGACTCCATAGATAGAGATAGTCATTTTCTGGCAATGGAAGAGATGCACATTCCACGGAAGTTAATCGTCTTAGTCAGAGCCACTATGAGAAAGACCCAATGCCAAATTAAGATTCAGAATATGTTGTCCAGCCCTGTAATAACTAGAAATGGAGTTCGACAAGGGGATACCCTAGCCTGCCTTTTGTCCAATATAGCATTAGAGAAGGTAGAGATGCAGGCATCAACACAAGGGGACTATATTCTATAAGTCAGTTCAAATTTTGGCATTTGCAGATGATATTGATATAATTGGTAGAACAGAAAAATCTATGTAAGAAGCTTTTCTTAAATTGGAAAGAGCAGCAAGAAAGATGAATCTACAAATTAACCAAAATAAAACAAAGTACATGCCGGTAACCAAGAAAGACTGTGCTAATGGACCTGCATATATTGAATTGGATAATATAAATTTGAGGTTGTATGTAGTTTTACTTACCTTGGATCAGAAGTTAACTGTAAAAATGACATTAGTGATGAAATAAAAAAGCGTGTACTCACGGCAAATAAATGTCTCCATGGCCTTAGGAAACACCTGAAAGCCCAACTAATACCCAGGAAAACCAAAACTATGATGTATAACGTACTTATAAGATCAGTGCTATCTTATGCCTCTTAAGACCTGGCCACTGTCAAGATCGGATGAAAGACTTTTAAGTATATTTGAAAAGAGTATCCTGAGATATATCTTTGGACCAGTGGAAGAAAATGGAATATGGAGGAAGAGGTATAACCATGAGTTATATGAACTATTTAATGAACCAGACACTGTTGGGTTTATAAAGGTGAAAAGGCTTGAATGGCCTGGACACATAATACATGCCAGCGAGAATGGAACGATTAAGAAAATACTTAATACTAAACCAGAAGAAAATAGGAAAGTGGGAAGACCGAGATTGAGATGGGAAGAATGTGTGTGGCAGGACATAAGAATTTTGGGTGCAAAGAACTGGAGGAATGCAGCATCAAATGG